TTTGCCTATAACGTGATTCAAGTAAATACAAACTTATATATATACGAAATTATGTTATATATATATACAAAATAATTTGATATGTTCCACGCACATTTACAAATTGTAGTATGCTCTTGATTTTTCTCTAATTAATATCGAGTAAAATGCTTAGCAATATAAAAGAATATTGAGATACCATTTTTTACCATAAGCGGGTATATTGGATCAATATATAGTATACCAAATAATTTGATTTCATATTTTATCGTAAAATACAAAAAATAATATTCAGTTTTACCACAAAATTAATAGCCCAACGTACAAAACAAAATCGAGACCCGCAATTTTTATAGATAAAGATAAAAAGGACCAAATAATCAGTTATTGAAAAATAATTAAATAGAAGCTGACATTAATACAATTATTTTGGAATAATTTTATAAAAAAAATTATGATTGAATAAATCAACCAAATTTACTCGACTGTGTAATTAGGGTATCTTAAAAATGTAAATTTTTATGGTCTAACTATTTCCTTAAAAATGTAAATAACAACTATAAAATAATATTTAAATAAAAACTGTCATTAATACAATTTTTTCAGAATAGTTTTTTGCAAATCGCATAATTGATTATTTTAGTTGATACTTTCATAAATCTAGTAATTATTTGTAGATTGAATAAATCATTTGGATTTACACAATTTGCGTAACTAAGGTATTTAAAAAATGCATTACACGAAAAATATAAAATATTTATTAAATAATTAATTACACAAATTAGTTGGAAGATTTTTACCAAATTACATTATTGATATTGCAACCAAAATTCTCATATTTAGGTAAATCAACCAAATTCACATTATTTTCGTAATTAAAGTATTTTTAAGAATATTTTTATGGCTTATATCATTTCCTTAAATAATGAGTCGCAATTTCAATAAGTGATTATTTGAATATACCATAAATTATTAAATAATTTTCTGAAATAGTATATAATTTTTTTAGAGAAATAATTATTATTTAAAAAATAATCAAACATTTATATATATATATATATATGTTAATAATTATGTTATTTTAATAATTATAATAACCAGTAATCAACGAATATCTGTACAAAATAGAACGATCCAGTCAAAAAATACGGCTCATGAATCATCATATCCTGTTGTTACAAATTGATAAGGAAATAAATAAAATAAGATTTTGTTAAAAATTAAAAAATTATGTACAAAAAAAAATCAAATTACGGCTGAATGCGGCTAATGAATCTTCATTTTTTGTTGTTACAAACCGAGAGAGAAAATATATGAAATAAGATTTTACTAAAATCAATAGGTTGCTTTAAACAATGAATAATATTAAATAGAATGTTAATAATTACCCATTAGATAACTATCTCATTTTGACAATTATAATAACTATCTTATTTTAATAAATTGGATAACTATAAACGTGTCCTCAATTCATGTATCACCAGAGCATTTTTATGAGTGCAAATATTATGATAAGATTTTCTTGTTTTTTTAAATTCATTTGTAAATTGTAACGGTAAATATTGTATGGATTTTTTTTTTTTGAAATTCGAATTTCCAAACAATTACCGTTAAAATTGTTTACTAATAAAAGTAAAAATAATTTATTTAGACAGGAAATCAGTTACTATTTCAGATAAATATCAAACTTTTTTATATATTTATAGATGAGAAAAGTTGCAGTTCTTTCTCATGCTCAAGGTGACATGAATTAAAATATTTGTCACAAGAGATTATCATATCATATATGATGATTATAGTGTTAAAAAATTCATAAACAATGACTAGGTACCATCTCCACTTAAAGCATGTATTACTTTAAAAATAAATATTAAAGGGCAATTGGAATTTAGTTATTTTATTTATTTATAACTCAAACCCGACATATTTTTAACTCAAACTTAACTCAAAATAGTTTTCTCAATATTACAATTTAATAATATAACTAATCATCCTAACACATCATATCAATTTTAATTCACTATTCATTCACTCACATAATTTTAACTACCTATCACTTTCAGTCACCACTCTGTTGTGAGTTTTACACCAAATCATACTTTTATCATTATATTTCAAATAATATTTTAATAAAATTTAGAAATCCCACTCAATCGTCCACTCAATCAACTTTAATTAAAATAACTCGAATTGTCCAATAAATCAAAATAAAATCAAAATAAAACTCTTCCAATCACCCCATAATTGCTCTTCATCTCTCGTGCTGCACATGTAACATTATTTATTCTTCTAGCTCATGAGTGGTTTAGTATCACAAATGATCTTACGTTGTTAATTAATTGATTAGGCGAATATGCCAGGAGTTACAAATAGCACAAATGTTAGTGCAACCTAGACAACCTTACTTTGTTATAAAAACACATGCTTATTCTATAAAATATAAGAATTTAAAGCGTGTTATTTAAAAATAAAAGTATAAATGTTAAAAAAATTGTGATGGTCTACTGTAAGATTTAGAGAGAATCAAGAAAACACTATAAGATGATAAGCCTAAATGTATCACAGTGAGTTTTCATCCCGAAACAAATTATGCGTGACAACTCACAAGTGATAAAATCAATGTGCGTGACAACTCACAAGTGATACTCCAACATCTACCTATTACAAAAATTCCGTAATACTCCGCTACCCACGGTAGACACATGTTAATATGTCCACCATTTATGTGGCATTCACATATTGGTGATGTATTTTTTTTTAACATATTAACATCACCAATGTGTGCATGCCACATAAACGGTGGACATATTAACATGGTGCCCACCGTGGATAAGGGAACATTATCCTACAAAAACTATTGAATAAAAAATTCCTATGATGTACTCTCTCTCTCTCTCTCTCTCTCTCTCTCTCTCTCTCTCTCTCTCTCTTTCTGCTATGCAAGTCAACGATTACCAACCAAACCAATTTAGATCTTGGACGATATGTGTTGGATTTGATTAAGTATCATGTTGGAGGGTCACAATAAGTTATTTTTCAGTAAAGTTGACTAATTTCTTCCCTAAATCAAACCTCCACATTAAATAAAACACGTCATTATATAATACATTTTCTCAAAACTAAGTTAATTTTTTGAATTTTGCACACATGCTATTTTCATTATTTTTTTTATTTAAATGGCATATCATTTTAAATTACAATGAGAATCAAAATTATTGGGTTAGCCGGAATACGTGAGATTTGGTCGGGGAATAGGGTGGTGTTGCGAAGTAGCACGCCGAGGACTGTGTACTGTTTGTAATAATGGGATATATCTGGTCAAGCATAGCAAGTCCCTTTCAGTTTCCCACACACTGATTTCGTGTTTGAGTGTGTGTGTGAATGTATTATAGAATATTTTTGCATTTTTGGGCTGTTAGTGTTGTTGGGCCCCCGCCTGTGCCTTCAGGCCGGCCTGTCTTTTTGTCGTCTTGTCTGGGAAGAATATATTCCCAGTTTTCAAGGCCTTTTATTACCCAAAACAAACTAAAACTAAAAATAAAAATAAAAAATGCAGTATTATTTAGATAGTTTCTAGTTGAGTATTCATTCATGGTTAACTAACATAAAATTATACTCGTATTTGGATCCAACAAAAGAAAAAAAAATGATGAATATATTGTAGTTAGGGCAAGTTGTGGGTTGATGCTATAGAAAAAGTCTGATAACTGCCGTAGCATTAAATCATACTCGGGTGTTGATCCAAGAATAAAATATACGACGATGCACTATAGTAAGGGCGAGTTGTGTTTGATTCAATGGTTAAAAAATCTGATACCTGCGGTTTTGTGTAGAATCGAACCTTACTTGTGTGTTGATCCAACGGTAAAAAATTCAGTGATTGTATTGCAGTTAGGGCGAACTGTTTGTTGATTCAACGATAAAATATGCGATAAGTGCGATAGGAAATCTTACGTGTGGGTTGATCCAATCGTAAAAGAATCAATGATTGCAGTGTAGTTAGAGTGAGTTGCGTGGTGATTCTATGGTAACTATAGTAGAATCAAATCCTACCTATGTGTTGATTCAACAATAAAAGATTCGATGATTGCAGTGTAGTTAGGAAGAGTTGTGTGTGGATTCAATGATAAAGAAAAAAATATATGATAACTACAATTTTGTGTAGAATCAAATCCTACTTATATACTGATTAAACGATAAAAAAATGATAATTACACTACAGTTAGGAAGAAATCTGTCTTTCACACACAGTGCTTTTTGCTTAATTTGTGCTTTGAGTTTAAGATGAATTGTACTCATTTTCACAAAATAAATTTAAAAAAAAATAAAAAAAATAAAGAAGATATGATGCTTGATGAGTTTCCCTTTTATATAAATTATTATAAAATATTATTTGTAGTATCATTCATTATGATATGAATGATAATATTAGTCCATCACAAATAGAGCAAGTTAGGGTCTTATTGAGCAATTGATCTGCAGCATCATACTCTTACATATATTTTTCTGCAATTCTCAGAACAATTGGTCAATATTCAATGCTTGAAACTTGAAAACGCATTATGTTTTTCTTAATTGGGCTGAATTCTCAACACCTTCTCCAGCCCAAAGTGTAAAAGTAAATCCACAATTGGAAGACCCAAATTCTTTAAAAATCAACATCTTCTTCAAATTAATAACTCTAGTGTATAGTGTATAGTAACTGGTTGTAATTTCAGGAAAATGTTACGGTTCCGTTACGGAATCATTTCGTCGGAATTTATAACCGTTAGATCAACTATCCCGACGGTTACATGATGATCTAACGGTTACAAACCCCGACGGAATGGTTCGGTAACGGAACTGTAGCATCTCCCGTAATTTCAAACACATTTAGAAACAAGACACAATCTCATTATTAAATCTGTTTTTTTTTTTTTTTTTTTTTT